TTCGTCTTGTTTACGGGTAGCTGTGTTCTGTAAGACAACAAATGGGCATCAGAATTCACCAGGTTAGCACTTCTTATTTCTATAACAGATTAACTAATCCTACATATAAAGGGGAAGAGAAATACATATATGTATTAATATTCATGGGTATATATATGTTCCATACAAAGGTTTAAAGAACTCAAGAACAAATATGGTGTTATCGATAAATGATAGGAATGTATACAGGTATCTAAATTATGTGTATTTTCTCAGCTAGTATCTCCCTTAGACTCTCGAAATTCATTCATTGTTCGTTTAAACCCATGATGTAAATTTTGTTAGAGCTTCTGAAACAGGAATTCTGTACAATTTCCTTTACTTTATTATAATTAACGATATGCAAAATGGAAAACGTCGTTATATTTATGCATATCTGTTTCTCTTAGTGTATGTTCATAATTCAATACTGCAGTTTTCCCACCTTCTGGATGATACATTTCTTGTAATATATTATTACCACTCTGACAATCTAACGACAACCTGGGAGAACAACAGTAAATAGTATTGCCTCTATATGCTCGTAAGGATACAACACGATGCAAAATAAATAACATTCCATATAAGACAGGGTTTATTCACCGCAAAAGATCATTCTTCACATAATTTGCAATTACTTTCAACTCCAGCACAATCTAAATTTATGTAACTCCTTCGGCCAATTCTTTTCTTAATGTATGTAAAGAATAAGAATGGTTCTATTCACCTTATTCTTTGAAGTGTCTCTGTAATTAAATATTTTGAAAATTACACCTACTTGAAAGAATTAAATTTATGACAGAAACCTATCTGTTATTCCTTTTACAAGAAAGTCTCAAAAAAGAAAGAAAAGAAAACAAGCGCTAGGCTTAATAATTAATTATATCTCAGAAAGAATGGTATTGTTCTTAGCTTCCCCACTCTGTAAAATTATATACTTCTATAAATACCATAATACCTAACAGTACTTTTATAATATAAAGACATTACCCAGAAAAAGAAAAAAAAAATCTTAAACAGTCCATTCTGGGCTTACTTAGTACATAACAAGAAGAGGATACTTCAATATTTATCGTACCCACTCGAATTTCTTACTTAAGTCCTTTATGTTATCCTTATAGGGAATATGATGAGAGATGTACGTTCATTGTAAAAGGGAAAATAAAAAAGAATATTTACACTCTTATGTAAA